TTTCCAATTTCTCGATGCCCTCCTTCCCTGGCGGCAGTATGTTCCGTCGCACCAAGAGGTAGAACCCCGATCCCTCAGACCCTGACCTGGCCCTCCCCCTAAAGCCACACTCCGGCCGCTGCCGCAGGGCGGGGCCCGGGATGCTGCACCCTGTCCAGCTGCGCCAGAGGTGCTCGTGCTGCGCCTTCCTGCCAGGGATGGGGGTGAATGGGGGGGCAATGTGGGCTGAAGCTGGGGGGGGGACCGCACGTTAGAAAGGACCGCCGCCGGGGGGAGGGGGCTGCGCCCTGTGGGGGATTGCAGCGCCTTTGTCTGCTGGCGCTGTGGACTCCGGTAGCCCGGTGAGGGTAAGGGAAGACGGGGAGGGTGGGGGGCTTAGCACCCTAAGAACAATAGCCGCAGCCTGGCCTCCCCCCACCCCCATGCCTCGTGCTCTGGCCGCGCGAATATGCTCAGTCACTGCGACGGGGGGGTGAAGGGAACGGAGGGGCTGGAGGATCTCCCTTTGGAAGCTGGGGTCCTGAGGGGCAGAATGAAAGGGGGGCTTTTGTCATAGCAACCCCCGCCCCCAAGAACATAGCCTCAAACGAAAAATAGTGACACACAGCGTCACGCAGGACATGATGTCACACACATATACACACAACAGCCCTAGTAGCCCAGATACACCAGGGAGTCACCATGCATACCTAGCCATATGGTGACCACAGATCAGAGGCATGCACACACAGGGGTACGCTCAGCATCACACAGACAAGTAAACCCACAGGCACAGTGTAGTGTACACCCAGTAAGATGTCACTTGCATGGTGATCCACACACATAATTATGCCATTTGAGATGCACGGAGACACATGTGTGGCAATGACATCCATGCAATGTCACAACATGATATCGCCTAAGTATGTCACATGCTATGTCACGCGGAGGACAGAATAACAGACAAAAAGAACCTTGCAGAGTTGGAGAGACAATATCACACGTTTTCACACATTTTTATCGATGTCATACATGGTGGCATGCTCAGACGTGCCCAGTGTCACAGGGTGTTAAATTCACACCCAGTAGATGCCACTTGTGGGTACACATGGTGAATGTCACACTCAGACACAAGGACAGTTTCTCTTACAGATTCAGGATGCTGTGCAAAGACATAGACACATGTAGCAGAAATCATGCATCTGCATACTTTACAGTGCACAGTGGCACATCTAGTCATGGACAAGTTCTGTTACATTGTGTCATATAGACACACAAAGCCATAGGCCATGTCACACAAGATAAATCCAAGAACTGTCACACATGATGTCACAGTAGGATGCTCCCAGTGCTGAACTCACACTCTAGGTGCCACACCTGAATACACACAGCGTATGTTACACACACACCCAAAAACACAGACACTGGGTATCTCCAGTGGTATCACACGGACCTATCACTTCATGACCGATACACTGTGTCGTAGGCGATCACACGTGATCCACAGCAGGACCCTCAGACATACATGTCCACATACGCATCTCCTCTCATACACAGTTCTCTGAGGAGTCCTTTGGGGGCACATCCAAACACACACAAATGGGAGAATGGTGGGGATCTGAGATGGGAGGTCAGCAGGTTGGGCCCACAAACTCACTGGGCTATGGCCGGATCCAGACCCCTGCCTCGCCTTCCCGCAGCTGCCGCACCAGCAACCGGAAAAGCCTCATTCTGACCAGCACTTCGCCCACGCTGCCGCGACCTCACTCCCCACTGCCAGGACACCTGGGTGAGACAGGTGGTGGGTTTGTGGGCCAGGCCAGAGGAGGCGTGGCCACAGGCGAGGGGTGTGTCCATGCCACCGGAGGGGTTGTCTGGATGGACAGAATCTGGACTGGACAAGAGGCGGGGCCATCTTTGTGTTGGCCTGGCCAGTCCGCAGAGGGACGGGCATTTGTGGGCGGAGGTCCAGGAGGAGCTTGATTGGAAAGGGGATGGGGCGGAAAGGAGGAGCCATATCTGAGGGGCGGGGCCAGCCCAGAAGAAGGCGGAATCGGCCTGGAGAGAGGTTGGGCTGATTCGGTAACCAAACACTTTGAGAGGCGGGGCCACAGCCAAGGGGGCGTGGCCCACTCATACATGGATGGGGCTAGAATAAAGAGGGGACAAACTGCTGTTTGGAACTCGCTTTGAGAATCAGGAGGCCTGATGGGATTGCTTTCCACCCCAGGCCTAAAGATCTCCCTCTTTCCACCACAGGTAGCAGTCCCCTGGACAGCCCCCGCAACTTCTCCCCCAACGCCCCCGCCCACTTCTCCTTTGCATCCTCCCGAAGGTGAGTCCCTCTCCCCAGGGCCCCAGAAATCTGGCCATAACCTCCCCACCCACCGTCTGAGCCGCCATCTGTTTCCCTCCTAATTGCACCTGAGTCAGGGCTTGAGGGACCCGCACGCAGAATACCCCAACGTCCGGGCGGGAACTATAAGAAGGCGGGGCCAATCGCCTATTCAGAATCAGGGAATGGGCGGGGCTTATTTTGCTGCTGAGAGAAAGCGCTTGCGCTCTGCGACCAGGGTATCTTAGTCTCCCAAGCCAACCTCTCCAGGCCAGGCGTTTCCATAGCAACAGGACGGAAGCGGGGATGAGGTGCGCAAGCGCCGACTGCTTGATGCCCATCGAAGGGCTTGGTTTCTTCGACGTGAGGGAGGGCGCCTACGGCTATTTCTTGAGGGCCCAAGAGGAAGAATCTCGTTTCCCACTGGGGGCCTCTGTGCATTTCTGGAGTGTCCCTAAGATGAATCTTTCTGAGGGCCTTTGGCAAAATTTGAGGAGGCAGAGAGATTCCTTGAATGTTTTTTGGAAAAATTCTGGGAGTTGCCAGGGTGTTTGGGCAGGTCTCTTTCTCTTTGAACTTCATTCTGAAAACGTTGTCTGAAAACTGCTATATTTTGGGAGCTGGGCTATGGGGTGAACTACACCCCGTCTTTATTCTTGGAGTTGAGTTGGGGAGGCAGGCTAGACAACTGCAAAGTCTGGTGAAAGCTGTGGTGTGGGAGTCACAGGAGACTGGGGCAGAGGACGTCTCCCTTGGGAGAGTAGGGGTAGGCCCCTTCGACTATGGAATTCAGCTGAGGGCAGTAGGGAGCCAGAAAAGGGCTCCAAGACTGGGCTGAATGTGGTCACCTACATGGAGGGTGAGTTGGGAATCGGGTAGGCTGAACGAGGGCACTGCCTGGAGAGAGAAGTCAAGTGCGGGGGAATGTGTGTCCATGTGAGTGTGCAATCTGTGTGCTGATGTGGATGTTTGTGAGTTTGTGAGGTCAGTATGTGAGGCAGCCTGGGCCTGCACGTGTTTACGGGGTGTGCACCATCAGCCTGTGAGGGTGAACGAGTGTGGCTGTGTACCTGTAGGGTTGTAAATGTGTGTGAATATGTGAGGAAGCGTGTCCCTCCACGTGTGTGGCCATGTGAGTGTGTAATTTGTGTGGGAGCATGAATGAGGGTGCGGCTGTGAGAGATTTTGAATGTGTGACTGTGTGCGTGAGGGTGTCATCAATGTGTGTCACGTGAATGTGACAGTCTAGATTGTGTGAGGGAGTGTGTGTGGGGGGTCAGAGTGATAGTACCAGGTCTCTGTAAGTACATCTGTCTATATGTGAGTGTATGTCTGTTTTTGTGTGTATGATTGTGTGTTAGCCTAGAAACGTGTGATATTTGAGTCCTTGTATAGGACAGTGAATGCGTATGTCTGTGTTGAGACACGTGGTGTGAATGTGTGTGACTGTTAGTGTGTGAACTCAACCACGCTAGTAACAGTCATACTAGTGGATGTGGCCATGAGAGTAAGTGTGTCTGTTGGGGTGTGTGCCAGTGTGTGTGTGTGTATGAGAAAGAGAATTTTCTTCTCTGAAAAGACCCAAATGGTCTTCCTCTGAGAATTTTCTCATGAGAGGTGTTTTGGGGTCCCACTGGGATGACTTCCTGGGGTGGGCTTTTCACTTTGGGGGCTTGCTTGGCATGAGGATGATGGGAAAGGAGGATCACAGGAAGGGGCAGAGGAGACTGATATTTGCTCCAGGTCCCGGGTGCCCAGATGGAAGACTTCCTCTTTACCTCCTTGACTCTGAGGGCCTTCAGGAATCTCAGAGCACAGATATACTGCCTGGCCCTGGCCATGGCCAGTGGCTTCTCTCACACCCTGAGGAGTGGGGGGACTGGTGGGGCCTGGCGGCCTTTGAGCACATCGGCTGGGTTCCAGGGCGGATGGACGTCGTTGGTCTCTGGCTTCACTCCCATCGTCTGGCTATGGCACCAACACACCCAGCTCCACCGTCTCGGTGAGTGTGGCAGGCGGGGCTGGTGGGTGGCCTAAATGAGACCTTTGGATTTCTCTTGTTTTTCAAGGGTGTCACCTGTCCACCTGTTAGTGAGTTACAATCCCCTCCAAGGTCTGGCTCTCCACCTATGACATATCTTCCTGGGGGAGGGGAGAGTCCTACTCACCTTGGACTTATTTTACAGATAATGACATTAAGGCTAAGCCATTTGCCCAAGTGTCTGCAGCCGGCCAGGCCTAGGCCACATCCTTCACTCAGAGCCCATTTCCTCATCCACTGCAATATCCAAAGTCTCTATCTCCATCTGCCACCCCCCTTCTACCTGTCTCCCTGGTTAGCTCATCCATACATCAGTATGATGTTCAGCAGACATTTATCATGTGACTGTTATGTGGTGGGTGGGCTCTACAAACTGGGCCAGAGTCCAAGGAGTCACAAAGCCCTCATGAGAGGAGACAGATCTGTAAGAAGACATTTACAACACAGGGTGCTGGAGTGGTTGGAGCTGTGATGGAGGCAGCATAAGGCAAGGTAATAGCAGAGGGGAGGCACCTGACTCAGCTGGAGGGAGGTCAAGGAAGATTTCCTGGAAGAGGCATCATAGAAGCCAACACAAAAGATCAGCAGGAGCTTGGCAGGTGGAAGAAGGGAGGGAACGGTGTTTCAGGAAAGGGAACAGCATGTGCAAACTCCCAGAGGCAGCAGAGAACTTTCCGTATTTGGAAAGTTGAAAATAGCCTGTGTGGCTGGAGATTTGGGTTGGAAGCAGAGGAAAGGAGGTAGGCAGGCAGCAGCCCTGATCATGTGAGGGCTTCTTGGCCAGGGCAGTGAGGTAGAATTTATTTGAAATGCAGTGGGAAGCATAGAGAGATTTTTTTTTTTTGCCTTTTATTAAAATCTCAGTATGAACTACTTGAACTTATGATTCTGTAGGTCATAGATTATGTGCACTGAAAAGGTTATTTTACATTTTTTAAAAGTGGAGGTATTGGGGATTGAACTTAGGAACTCATGCATGCTAAGCACAGGCTCTACCACTGAGCTATCCCTCCACTCCACTTTTTTTTCATTTATTCCATCTTTTAAAAAATATTATTTTAATAGATAATGATGAGACAGAGAGTTTTAAGCAGAGGAGTGAGTGATGTCATGTTTAAAAAGATTATACTGCCTGAAGAATCAGGCAGATGTCCTTGTGTTTCTCCACTGATGTCTGTGAGTCTGTGTTTGCCCCAACTGCATACCAGGCCATGACCAAGGACCAAGCAGAACCAAGTCTCTGCCCTGGAGGAGCAGATACCAATAACAAATAAGTAAAACAGAGGTAGTAAGTCAGGAGCTAAGTACAGCAAGAAGTAACAAGATGTGGCAGGGAGAAGGAATGATGGGTGTCTGTATTCAGAGGAAACCTCCTGAGGGGTGACATTTAAGCAAAGACTTGAATGAGGAGTGATCCATAGTAGATGTTCTCCAGGCACAGGGAACAGTCTGTGCAAAGGCCCTGAGTCAGGAGTGTGGCTTATTCAAGGACCTTCAAGGAGGCCTGTGTAGGTGGAACAGAGCAAGTGAAGGGGCCAGTGGGAGGTGTTGGCAAAGAGACAGGATCAGGTCTTGCAAGACCTGGTGGGCTGTGAGGAAGACTTAGGCATGCACCATGAGTAAGGTGGGAGCCATGGAGGGTTCTGACCCGAGGGGGCCTGTGACTTGACTCAGGTTTTAAGCGGCTCTCTTGAGCCACATCTGTCTGTGTCACTGTTCTCATCCTTGTCTATCCCTGAGCACCTCCCCCCATTTGTCGCCAGGAATCCCAAGCTGGGCCTTGGGATCCAAATCATAAGTCAAATCCTGATTCTGGCCTTGCTCAGTGGCCTGTCAGACGCGGGAGTCCCAGCCCATGGTCCCAAGCAGTGGGGGGACCGCGGTGGCTCTGACCCCGGCCCCGCCCCTCCCCCCAGTCTTCCTGCTCCTCCCAGGAGCGCCTGCACCAACTGCCCTATCAACCCACCGTGGACGAGCTCCACTTCCTCTCCAAACACTTCGGCAGCACGGAGAGCATCACGGACGAGGATGGTGGCCGCCGCTCCCCTGCCGTGCGGCCTCGCTCGCGGAGCCTCAGGTGGGTCCGCACCCCCCCTCCCGCTCCAAGCTGGCACTGCGAGACCCCCGTCCCCGTGAATAAACAACTTGCAACATGATGGGTGAGGACGTCTGCTGCCAGTTCGGAGGTTGGGGGTTGGACAGGATGGGTTTCTCTCTCCGCAGCCCCGGGCGCTCCCCCTCCTCCTACGACAACGAGATAGTGATGATGAACCATGTCTACAAGGAGAGGTTCCCCAAGGTGAGGCGGGGCCGGGGGCGGCCGCAGGGAAGTCGGGCGGCCGGAGCCCTCACTCGCCTTAGCTCCGCGCGCCCCCTGGTGGCCGGCGCCGGGCAGCACAGGCTCTTGGCGACCACAGCCTCCCCGCGCAGCCCCGCGCCGGCATCCCCGCCCTGCCTCCGTCCCTCCTGTAGGCCACAGCGCAGATGGAAGAGAAGCTGCGAGACTTCGCCCGCGCCTACGAACCTGACAGCGTGCTGCCGCTGGCCGACGGAGTACTCAGCTTCATCCACCATCAGATCATCGAGCTGGCCCGGGACTGCCTGACCAAGTCCCGCGACGGCCTCATCACCACTGTCTACTTTTACGAATTGCAGGAAAATCTGGAGAAGTTGCTGCAGGACGTAAGTGCACAGATAGGCTCCATCTCAGTCTCTACACCCCCAAATCAGGCCCTGTGCCTCCATCCCTTCCTTCACCCCACATTCATTCGGGGGGTTGCCTACCATGTGCCAAGCGGCTAGTGTGGCGCTGAAGATTGAAGGGTGGAGGGGAAAGACTCTAGGTCTGATGGAGGAAGCAGGAATTTAACCTCCCTCACCTCCTTCAGGTCTTTACTTCTCAGGTGGTGTCAGGGCTGGGGCGAAGATGTGGCAGGTGATTTTTTTTTCCCTTCAGAACAGTAATTATTGAGAAAGTTGAAAAAGTAGGTATGTTAAAATTTAACATTATTGTAAGCTTAAATATTTTATTTATAATTAAACCAAAATTTGTTATAATCTACTTTACTGGTTTTAATGGAAACAAACTCATCCATAATAATATCTTCATTGAAACTATTAATCATTTTAAAAACATAAAAACACATAGAGATTGTTCCACACTTTTCCTTTTGATTCAAGCTCCAGTATGGCTTGGTACAGCCCTTTTGGATTCTGCTCCTATTTAAATTTTGCTATTTTGCTTATCATGGATTTTTTTTTGGCATTGATTTTGGTTTTTTCCAAGTACTGCATTAAAATATTAGTTATTTTGAAGACTGAGGTTTTTGGTGCCCAAGGTGACTGCCTCATTTGCCTCTCTGTTGCCTCAACCCTGATGGGCATGATAGATAAATTAATATGTGGACTGTTTGGTAGAAAACAGGAACACCATAAATATACAATGGAATATTACTCAACCATAAAAAAGAATGAAATAATGACATTTGGGGTAACATGGATGGACCTAGAAATTATCATACTGAGAGAAGTAAGTCAGACAAAGAAAGATAAATATCATATGATATCACTTATATGTGGAATCTGAAAAAAAAATAATACAAACAAACTTATTTACAAAACAGAAACAGACTCAGACTCACAGACCTAGAAAACAAACTTACGGTTACCAAAGGAGAAGGGGGGTTAGGGATAAATAAGGAGTATGGGATTAACAGATACACATTCCTATACATATAAAATAGATAAATAACAAGGACCTACTGTACTGAGCAGGGAACTATAGTCAGTATCTTGTAATAATCCATAATGAAAAAGAATCTGAAAAAGAATATGTATGTATAACTGAACCACTTTGCTGTATACCTGAAACTAACACAACATTGTAAATAAACTATACTTTAATTAAAAAGAAAGAAAGAAAGAAGAAAACAGGAGCATGAGAGTAGAGTAATGGTGATTGATGGTGCTGCCAGGAGATGGGGTGTGATTTTGAATTGGGGAAATCAGGGTAGGCCTCCATGAGGAGGTGACAGCTGAGCTGAGATCTGAAGGAGGAGGAGTAGGAAGCCAACCAGGGACCTGAGGAGAGAGACTTCCAGGTAGGGGGATTTTAACTAGTCCTGGATTATAGGGTGGTTTTGAAGATGAACTGAATGATTGAAGATTTTAGGACAGTGTTTGCTGTAGTAACAATAATGATTATTTTTACCATATGGCCTGGGCCTCAGTTTTCTCATCTGTAAAATGGAAAAAAGGCAGCAAAGATGTCAATTCCGGTGGCATCGGGAAAGGTGCCTGTGAACCCCACCCCCACTCTGCCCCCCCCCCTGCCCCAGGCCTATGAACGCTCCGAAAGCCAGGAGGTGGCCTTCGTCACTCAGCTGGTGAAGAAGCTGCTCATTATCATCTCCCGCCCAGCAAGGCTGCTGGAGTGCTTGGTGAGGGGGCTGGGCACGGGTGTGGGGTGGGGATGGAAGGTGTGAGAGGGTAAGGGTGGGGGCGGTGGCTGGCTGTAGCCCCTCAGAATTCGCCTTGAGCCCACCCCCCACCCCTCCTCCCTGCCTCAGGAATTCAACCCTGAGGAGTTCTACCACTTGCTGGAGGCAGCCGAGGGCCATGCTAAGGAGGGCCACCTTGTCAAGACGGACATCCCCCGCTACATCATCCGCCAGCTGGGCCTCACCCGTGACCCCTTTCCAGGTGCTGGCTGGTGGGTGCAGGGGACTGTAGGTGAACTGGCTGGGACCCCAGCCTCCGCTCACTCTCAATCCCTTCCTAGATGTGGTGCACCTGGAGGAACAGGACAGTGGTGGCTCTAACACACCTGAGCAGGACGATCTCTCAGAGGTAAGGCCAGGTGGCTCAGCAGACAACAGGCTGATTCTGGCCCGACTGATGGGGGCTCACCTCCTGGCTTTTTGCCCTCAGTCTGGGTGGCTCTCTTGGTCCCCATTTTGAGCCTCAGTTTCCCCATCTGTAAAATGGGTTAATAATGGCTCTTCCTCCATAGGCTTTTTTCTTTTCCTGGTAAAATACATGTAACCATAATACCTACACAGTAAGCATACCATTTAAACAAATTTTAAATGAACAATTCATTGGCATTTAGTACATTCACAATGTTGTGCAGCCATTACCTCTGTTGAGTTCCTGAACATTTTCATCATCCCAAAAGGAAAACTTGGACCCATTAAGCAGTTATTCCCCATTCCCCCATCCCCCTCAGCCCCTGGCAACCACTGATCTGTTTTCTGTCTCTATGGATTTGCTGATTCTGGATATTTCATATCAATGGAATCATTCACTCTGTGGCCTTTGGTGTCTGACATAATGTTTGTAAAGTTTATCCATGTTGTAGCATGAATCAGTACTTCATTCCTTTTCACGACTGAATAATACATGTCATTTTGTTTATCCATTGTTCATCGATGGACATTTTGGTTGTTTCCATCTTTTAGTTATTGTGTGAATAGTGCTGCTATGAACATTTGTGTATGAGTACTTGTTTGAACAACTGTTTCAGTTCTTTTAGGTACATACCTAGGAATTGCTGGGTCACATAGTAATTCTATGTTTAATTTCTTGAGGAACTCTGCAGGGAGTTTTGACTGGGTTGAATGTCTCTGGGTTAACTGCTCAGTGTAGTGAAAATGACTATAATCCCACCCCGAGGCCAACCACACTTTGGTAGATGTTTCACGTATCTAGTGGGGATTGCCTGTCCGTGATGGTTGTACACGTGTTTTCTCTGAATTGCCTAGTATTTTTCAAAAACTTGTGGCAAAATATAGAAATCAGAAGATTTTGTCTTAAAATCTGGGTTTGTGCCTTTTTTGAAAAATCAGAAGTTCTGACAACTTGGGGGTGGAACCAGCTGGCATTGAGTGGAGGCTGACCTATGATTCGGGGTACCTATACCCCAGTCTTCCATGGCCCTCACCTGGTATGCCTGGCCCCTGAAGGCATTTGAGTTTGCAAACTTTGTTTCAAACTGTGTCTATGAATTCGCACTCATATACACACACATCTGTCCTTTATATGTATATACATATATGTATTTTTTAATCTCATTATACATGCCATTTGTTTAATTTTTTGAATAGGTAATGGAATGACATCACTCAAAAGTTTAAAACTGTAAAAAGGTATTTAATCTTTAATTATTGTTTGTAGGATCCTATGTAATTCCATTCAATCAAACTTGTTTATTGAGTGATTCAAATCTTCCATCTTCCTATTCATTTTTTTTTTTTGCCAGATCAATCTAATAGTTTCTGAGAGAGATGTGTTAAATCCTTGTTTGAGTAATTTCTCTTTGTAATTTTGTCAATGTTTGTGTCAGACTTTGGGGGGCTACATTGTTAGGAGCATAGAAGTTCAGCATTTTTATATTTCATAGATCTCTTTGTGTAATATTTATGTAACAAATCTCTTGTCCCTAACAAAAATAATCATTTTTTAAAAAGGTATACAGCAAAAAATCTTATGCCCACTCTTGTCCCCCATAGGCATATATCCCCCAAATATGATTATATCCCCCCCTTTTTACACAAAAGCATACAGTATATATTATCCTTTGTTTTTCTTTTTCCCAGTTAATAAAATACTTTGAAGAACTTGTCTGAATAAGTATACAGAGATAGTCCTCATTAAAAAAAACAGTGGTACAATATTCCTTTATACAGATATCCCTCATGTGTTTATTTAACCAATTTCCTATATATAGATTATTTCCAATCTTGCAGTCAGCAAGACAGTACATACATCATTTTTCACATGTGCAAACATATCTGTAGCATGAATTCAAAAGTGAAATAACTGGATCAAAGGAAATATGCATTTGTAACTCTGATATACACCAAAGTACCTTTCATAGGGGCTGTACCAGCAAGGTATAAAAGTATCTGTTTCCCCACAGCCTTGCCCACAGAATGTGTCAGCTTTTTGAAAAAAAAATTTTTTTTTGGCCAATCTGCTGGGTGAAAAATGGTATCTTCGGTAGTTTTAGTGTGCCTTTCTGTCATTATATGTGAGGTTCAGCATCTTTTCACATAGTTAAGAGGTCTAACTCTAGTTCACATATCTTGCATATTCTTTCTCTTTAATTGTTAGGTTTTTTGTTGTTGTTGATTTCTGGGAGCTCTTTATATATTAGGGTGATTAGCCATTTTGTAGGTTTCTTTCCTAATGGACAGAAGTTAGTTATATGGCTTCAGAGTCAGAGAGTCTTGGGTTCAAGTCGTGACTTTGTTACTCCCACACTGTGGCACTCGGATGAAGGACCTACCCACCCCTTCTGTGCCTCAGTTTCCCTATATGTTAAATGGAATAGCGAGAGTCCCAATCTCACGATGATGATGGGGTGATCTCCATCTTTTCCCTGCAGGGCCGCAGTGCCAAGGCTAAGAAACCACCTGGGGAGAATGACTTTGAGACCATCAAGCTCATAAGCAATGGTGCCTACGGGTGAGCCACCCGGGGCTCTGGCGGGGGGAGGGTGGCGGAGGCCGGGTGTCTCGGAGGTGATGGCCGGTCCTCGCTCTCTCCCCCTGCAGCGCGGTCTACCTGGTGCGGCACCGGGACACGAGGCAGCGTTTTGCGATGAAGAAGATCAACAAGCAGAACCTGATCTTGCGTAACCAGATCCAGCAGGCCTTTGTGGAGCGCGACATCCTCACCTTTGCTGAGAACCCCTTTGTGGTCGGAATGTTCTGCTCCTTTGAGACCCGTCGCCACCTCTGCATGGTCATGGAATATGTGGAAGGTGTGGCTGCTTGCAGGGCTGCAAGGAAGATGAGGGAATGCACACTGGTCAGGGCTGCTGGGTGGCCTCCTGGGCCCCAGTGACCATATTGACTATCCACCTGTATGTTTATCCACCCATTTATCCATCCAGTCATTGACTATTCATTCCATCTGTTTATTTCTATGCAGCCATCTATTTATCTGTTTTCATTTCTCTCAGTATAGGTACATCCATCCAACTATCTATCCATCCACCCATCCATCCTTCCATTCACCTATTCATTTGCTGATCCATCTGTTTTTCTATGTGCCATTTTTTCCGTTCTTCCATCCATCTATCCATTTGATTACCTGTCTGTTTGTCCATCCATAGATCTGTTTACCGATTATACATATATTTTTAAAAATTAATAGACTTCATTTTTGGTCTATAGCAGTTTAAGGTTTATAGGAAAATTGACTGGAAAGTACAGAGAGTTCCCAGTTACCCCCTAGTTTCCCCTTTTATTTACATCTTGTATTATTGTGGTACATTTGTTACAATTGAGGGACCAATATTGACACATTATTATTAACTGAAGTCCATAGTTAATGTTAGGGTTCTATCTTTGTGTTGTACATCTATGTTCCATCCATCCATCTTTTTCTATATCTATCCTTCATTCATCCATCTATTTATACACCTACTTACTTGCCATCCATCTATCCACCAATACCTATTTATTTATTAATCCATCATCTATCCTTCCATCTTTCCATCCATCCACTTATCACCCTTGTTTATTCATTCATTCAAACCTCTCTTCTAGCACCTATCTCACTTTATCTAGCTAGCTGCCTAACTCCATCTATTTATCCACAGTTCATCCATGAGTTTATCCATCTATTTGCCATCCATCCATTCATCTAACCACCAACGTATATGTTTTTCATCTGTTTATCTATCCACCACGGTTATATTTACCCAAATATCAATCCATCCATTGTCCAAATACACATGTACTATGGTTATTAGGACACACACATGATCTCACAGGGCTAAAGCTGTGCCACCTCCAAGCCTTAGTTGACCATCCAGTCACTCAACAGATGTCCCTTCATCACCTCCTTGATACCTTAATACTGTGCTAGGCACTAGTGGCACAATGGAGATCCAGACAGACACACCTTTCCCTCATGGAGGTAACATTCTAGTTTGTGTGGACAGACAATAAACAAGAAAAACAAGCCAAAAGAGATAGGGTTGTTTCATATAGTGAGGATGGCAACAAGGACCATAAGGCTCAAGGAGGCCCTGGGCACAAGGGCATTTTATTCTTAGTGTAAGTGTAAATCAGGATTACCTGAGACCACATTCAGATTCTTGGGACCATACTCAGAGAGTAAGATTCATCAGTTTCTGACAGTCAGCTAAATCTGGCTCAAGGAAAAAAAAAAAAGGAAAGGAAATTTATTGACTCATGACCAAAAAATGTCACCTTCAGGAATGGCTGCATCTAGGTGCTCAAATTATGTCAATAGGAATCTCTTCATCTCTTGGCTCTGCTCTCCCATCTGTGGAGTTCCCTCTAAACAAGCCCTGATATAGTGAGGTTCCCAGGCAACAGATCTCAGTTTACATTCTACAGGAGGGAACAGTCATTGGAGTAACATGGGTTACATGCTGACCCAGCTGCTAAATCTGGAAGGAAATCTGACTCTTGTAAGAAAAAGGAGAAATGCACACTTGGGCAGACTAAAATATGAATGATGCTTATAGTAAATCTGATGGGGGCAAGGAATCTATATTTTAAGGCCCCAGGCCCTCAAGGGTCAGATTCCAGATTGAGGGCCATGCTCCCAAACTCAGTAGATAAGCAGGCATTTTCAGTCCTGACCAAACTTTATCTCTACCATCAATTCCCTGCATGACCCAACCTCTCTCTGAATTCCAATTGCCTCCTGTGTAAAATCGGCTGATTAGGCTGACTTTGGAGGATGGCTAAGAGGGCAAGAAAAGCCTGGTAGAAGGCACTCCCTATGCAAATTCCCCATGCAACCTGGGGAGAGGGAGGCCCCTCTCTGAGCCTCAGTCTTCCTTAGCTGTAAAATGGGGGCAATGTGAGAGGAGGACTTGGTGTTCTGGTGCCTGTGGAGTGCTCAGCTTTGGGCCAGGGTGCCTCCCTCTTCACGTGGGCCTATTCCTTCACCCCCCAGGGGGGGACTGTGCTACCCTGCTGAAGAACATTGGGGCGCTGCCTGTGGAGATGGCCCGTATGTACTTCGCTGAGACGGTGCTGGCCCTTGAGTACTTGCACAACTATGGCATCGTGCACCGCGACCTCAAGCCTGACAAGTGAGCCTTGACCTTTTCCATCTCTCCTTCCTTGCCCCTTGGGAGGCCCTGGCATGGAAGGGCCAGGAGTGAAGTGGATGGTCTGGCTTCTAAGACCTTGGGTCATGCCTGCAGCCTCCTTATCACCTCCATGGGGCACATCAAGCTCACGGATTTCGGCCTCTCCAAGATGGGGCTTATGAGTCTGACCACCAACCTATATGAAGGCCACATCGAGAAGGATGCCCGGGAGTTCCTGGATAAACAGGTGTGTGTGCGGGAGTGGGGGTCACCGCGGGTGGAGTGACCCAGCAGGACTGTGGGGCCCAGGTCCTGGTGGGGGGCACTGCTTCCCCGGGAGGCCCCTTCTGCGGCCAGGGCGTGGGCTGATGGCCTGCCCCCAGGTGTGTGGGACCCCAGAGTACATCGCACCCGAGGTCATCCTACGCCAGGGCTACGGCAAGCCAGTGGACTGGTGGGCCATGGGCATCATTCTCTATGAGTTCCTGGTTGGCTGTGTGCCCTTCTTCGGAGACACACCTGAAGAGCTCTTTGGACAGGTCATCAGTGGTGCGTGCCTCCGCGGTGGGCAGGCTGGGGGCACGGGACGTGGGCTGTCCCATGGCCTCGTGGACTCCAAAAGCGAACCCTAGCCCCACCTTGCTCTGCAGACGACATCCTGTGGCCCGAGGGGGATGAAGCCCTGCCCGCGGATGCCCAGAACCTGATATCTAGCCTCCTGCAGACCAACCCCCTGGTCCGGCTAGGAGCAGGTAAGGGGTCAGCTGTGCAGAGAAGCTGAGAGCTGAGGGGGCCGTTGTCATTGTTGAAGAGCAAGGCTCCCAGAGCTGTGGCCCTGGGGCAGAAAACGAGTCGGGGGCTGTGCTGCTGGGCTGGCCATAGCTGTCGCTAGAATTCCCTCCCTGAACCTCTCCATCCCTTCCTCCCCAGGCGGTGCCTTTGAGGTGAAGCAGCACAGTTTCTTTCGAGACCTGGATTGGACAGGGCTGCTGAGGCAAAAGGCCGAGTTCATCCCCCACCTGGAGTCCGAGGATGACACCAGCTATTTCGACAGTGAGTGAGGACAGAGGGTGGGATCCTGTGGTGCGGTGCACTTGGATATGGCCTGGGCTGGGACCCAGGTGGGTAGGAGACCAGCCTCCTAGACGAGAGGAGAGGGCTGAGGTCGGGCGGGTCTTGGTTCGGCATAGAGGCGGGGCTGAGTCTCAGATAAAGATAAGGAACGAGTTTGCGGTAGGCAGGCGTGGGGCCTGGCCTGGGGTGAGTTCTAAAACTGGGCGTGGGCCTGGGTGAGCAGGCGGTGCTAGGACCCAGAATGCAGCAGAAGCTTAGGCTGGCGGAGGCGGAGCCGAGGAGAAGAGCTCCTTAGGTGGGATCTGGGGGTGTGGCCTCTGTGCGGGCGGGGCTAGACAGAGCCTCAGCGAAGGGGGCAGGGACCCGGCGTGGGGGCGGGGCGTGAATCAGATTGGAGAATGGGGCAAGGGCGTGGCAGGGCCTGCAGGATCTGGCTCCCGCGGAGTGTGATTTCAGGAGTGGACCCGTGCCCGCGGTCACGGCCCACACCTCCACCCCAGCCCGCTCAGACAGGTATCACCACGTGAACTCTTATGATGAGGAAGACACGACGGAGGAGGAGCCTGTGGAGATCCGCCAGTTTTCCTCCTGCTCCCCGCGCTTCAGCAAGGTGGGCCAAGGCGGGGCTGAGGTGGGGTGAGACCCTGGGAGGGCGGAGCCTGTGTTGAGGTAGCGAATAGAGGTGTGCCTGGAGAGGGCAGGAGCTGAGGCTGTGGGGAGCAGTGTGGTAAGCCTAAGGTCTCAGACTGGGGAAGTTACTGAGGGGGTGGGGATCTGGAAGTGATGAAGACTTGTAGGGAGGAAGCATGGGGGTCTTGGTACTGGCCTTTGGCATTGGTGGAATCTAATAGGAACCTGGTCAGTTGTGGAAAGGACCCACAGTGGGGCGGGGCTAAGTCATGGATGGGGATGGAGAGAATGAGCAGCGGGGGCGGGGCATGGGCGTGGCAAGGCTGGGCAAGGTCACTTTGAGGAGCAGCATGTAGGGGTGTGCAGGACCTAGCTTGGGCGAGGGTACACGTAATTGGGTGGGCCTGGGGAGGCTGGGAAGGAAGGAGAGTACATTCGTTAGGGCATAGATAAGGCAGGATCTAGAATAGATTGGAGCCTAATTTTATGGGATAGGGCCTAACCTGAGGAATTGCAGATGGTCGGGGTCAGCCCAGAATTGAAGCCCAGGGCTTCACTGGGGCCGAGCGTACTTTGGCCGGTCCAGCAGCGGGGAAGTTGATTGCTTCAGGACCGAAGGAGGGATCTGGGGGCCCGGCTTGCCTCCCACCACCACGCACCCATCCTTGCAGGTGTATAGTAGTATGGAGCAGCTGTCGCAGCATGAGCCCAAGACCCCCGTGGCAGCAGCGGGGGTCAGCAAACGGGAGCCAAGCGCCAAGGGGCCAGAGGAGAAGGTGTCGGGCAAGCGGGAGGGCCTAGGCGGCCTGACCCTGCGAGAGAAGACCTGGAGAGGGGGCTCCCCGGAGATGTGAGCAGGAGCCGGGCTGGGTTTGGGGGCGGGACCCGACGGGGAGTAACTCCTCTGACTACGCCCCCTTTGCGCAGCAAGCGCTTCTCGGCATCCGAGGCCAGCTTCCTGGAGGGGGAGGCCAGTCCCCCGCTGGGAGCGCGCCGCCGTTTCTCGGCCTTGCTGGAGCCCAGCCGCTTCAGTGCCCCTCAAGAGGACGAGGATGAAGCTCGGCTGCGCAGGCCACCCCGGCCCACCTCCGATCCCCCAGGCTCTCTGGATGCACGGGCCCCTAAAGAGGCAGCTCAAGGGGATGGCACCCCCAGCACCGGGGACCCTGAGGCCAGTGAGTGCCCCCTCCTGCCATCTTTCCCAATTCCTCAGTGTCCGTATGTGAGCGTTCAATGAGCCTGGTACTGCTTCTGCAAGTTCTCATGTACTCTTAACCCTCCAACTTGGGAGTCTCAGCGTGAGGAACGCCATATTCCATGCTCAGTCAACAAATGTATTTGAGCACTTCTCTGTGTCAGGAGCTGTTTCAGATGCAAATGTCACCTGCTCTCATGAAACTCACAATTCAGCCAGGGAGAGAAGTAGGAAGAGCATTCCAGGCAGAAGGAACAGCATGCAAGAAACTTGTGACCTTGGAATGACCCCTAACTCACCTGCTCTGTTGCAGCTGACCTCCCACGCCCAGGCGACCTCTGCCCAACCTCGAAGGATGGGGACCCATCAGGCCCAAGAGCCACCAATGACCTGGTTCTGCGCCGGGCACGGCACCAGCAGCTGTCTGGGGACCCCACGGTAGAGAAGCGGCCTTCTAGAACAGGGGGCAAAGTTATCAAGTCAGCCTCGGCCACTGCCTTGTCTGTCATGATCCCTGCAGGTGAAGCTGGGCCCCACCTGGCAGGGGAGGGGCTGCCCAAATTTGTGCCAAGTGCATTTTTCTGGTCCACTGTGATTGACTCTGGGATTCTGAGTTGGGAGGAAGGAGGAGAAGACACAGGGAAAGCTGTGTCTGTTGGCCCTGAGCTTTGACCATGGGTCTGTGTCTGCAGTGGACCCCCATGGAAGCTCACCCCTGGCCAGCCCCATGTCCCCACGATCTCTGTCCTCCAACCCATCCTCACGGGACTCTTCACCCAGCCGGGACTACTCACCGGCTGTCAGTGGTCTCCGCTCCCCCATCACCATCCAACGCTCGGGCAAGAAGTATGGCTTCACACTGCGTGCCATCCGTGTCTATATGGGTGACTCCGATGTCTACAGTGTACACCACATTGTCTGGGTGAGCACTTATGGGTGGAGTCTGTGTTCCACGGTGGGGGTATGGAGAGAGAATGCTCCCCAGGGATTAGGGACAGCTCAGACTCTGGAACCAGGCAGACTGGATGAGACTCCTCTGTACCCCGCCTCTGTCACTTTCCTCTCTGAGCCTCAATTTCTTCATTTGTAAACTGGGGAGAATAATTGTTATTTCATAAGGTGTTACGAAGATTACCATGCATGCACAGCTGGGTGTCCAGCACATAAACTTAGGGAACTTTCCTTGTTACCCATCCTGTTAATCCTGCCCCTGTGGGGTGTCCTGTTCCCAGCACGTGGAGGAGGGGGGCCCAGCCCAGGAGGCAGGGCTCTGTGCCGGAGACCTTATCACCCATGTGAACGGGGAGGCTGTGCATGGCATGGTGCATCCTGAGGTCGTCGAGTTGATCCTTAAGGTGACTCCATGGGAGAGAGTCAACTGGGCAGGGGTGGGGGGTGGGGGCGAAGGGTAGGGGAGAGCCCAGGGAGCTAGAGCAGCTTCCAGTGGAGAACTTTGCCCCTTGCTTCCCCCAGAGTGGCAACAAAGTGGCCGTGACCACAACACCGTTCGAAAATACCTCCATCCGCATTGGCCCTGCGCGGCGCAGCAGCTACAAGGCCAAAATGGCTCGGAGGAACAAGCGTCCCTCTACCAAGGAGGGTCAGGAGAGGTGAGTGGAGACAAATGCAGTGGGCAGGCCGCTGGAACACTCCAGTTTTTTAGCATTGGTCAGGGCTTATGTGGGAGAGGAACAGGTGAGGACAGAAGAAGGGACAGGCACAGGAGAGGTGGTTGTGCACAGGAAAGATGGCCGGGGTCACCAACTGAAGAACAACAACAAGAGGATGGGGCTGAGTATAGCTCAGTGGTAGAGTGCATGCTTAGCATGTAAGAGATCCTGAGTTCAGTCTCCAGTACCTCTATTAAACAAACAAACAAGCAAACAAAAAAAAGAAAAGAAAAGAAAACCCCAAGAGGACAGAGGAGGGGCTGGGAAAGTGGGAGGAGCCAGAAAAGGAAAATGCCTATCTTCTTGGCTGGGGGGAAAAGCATTTGTGGGTGTGTGTTGAGCAGAGCCAGCAGATTAAGCAGACTAACAGGGTTCTGTCCTGGAGATGATTCTGCCTTGCTGGATGATTTAGACGACTGAGTGGGGCTGAGAGAAGAGATTTGGTATCTGGGAAGAGCATCCCAGGCAAGACTGGGCCAGTAGAAACAATTTCTTCCCTTCTAGGTAGGAGGAGCTAGGAGAGGTGGGTGGGCCAGGACAGTTTTCTGTTTTGATTAGTGGGTTTGGCCTGGACAAGGAGAGCGTGGGGGTTTGAGTGAGACCAGCCAGGCTGAGTCCAGTGAATTTCTTTCTGCCCTGTCTGGTGAGTTTAGCTGGAGGGGAAGGGGCTAGACATGTGGGCGGGGCCAGAAAAGGTTGGCTCTGTTTTGAATGGTGTTTCTAGCTTGGACTTGGAGTGGTCAGAAAGGAATGGGTGAAGCCTGAGGTGGGAGGAGCCATGAGAGATGTACTCAAGGGTAGTTCTTTCAGTCTTGATAGGTGGATTGTAGCTGTAGAGGGAAGGGCCTAAAGGGTGGGCGGTCCCAGGAGGGCAAGGTGCCTCGAGGCCCTGAAGTGGGAGGAGCAGGAAGTTCTGGAGTCTGGTCAAAGGTCCAGGGTCTGCTGCTTGTCTTCCAGCAAGAAGCGTAGCTCCCTCTTTCGCAAGATCACGAAACAGTCGAACCTGCTGCACACTAGCCGCTCGCTGTCGTCATTGAACCGCTCGCTGTCGTCCAGCGACAGCCTCCCAGGCTCGCCCACCCACGGGCTGCCGGCGCGCTCACCCACCCACAGCTACCGCTCCACGCCTGACTCCGCCTACCTAGGTACGCCCGTGCGCCTGCGCGGGGCCGAGAGGCTTGCGGTGGCGGGGCGGTGCCCTGGTGGTGCCCGCTGCACTCGACACGCTCTTGCCTGCCCTCAGGTGCCTCATCCCAGAGTAGCTCTCCAGCCTCGAGCACACCCAACTCTCCGGCATCGTCGGCGTCACACCACATCCGGCCCAGCACGCTGCACGGCCTGTCGCCGAAGCTGCACCGCCAGTACCGATCGGCGCGCTGCAAATCGGCCGGCAACATCCCGCTGTCGCCGCTGGCGCACACGCCGTCCCCAACGCAGGCGTCGCCACCGCCGCTGCCAGGCCACACGGTGGGCAGCTCGCACACGACGCAGAGCTTCCCGGCCAAGCTGCATTCGTCGCCACCGGTGGTGCGCCCGCGCCCCAAGAGTGCCGAGCCCCCGCGCTCACCGCTCCTCAAACGCGTGCAGTCAGCAGAGAAGCTGGGAGCCTCGCTGGGCGCTGACAAGAAGGGCGCGCTGCGCAAACACAGCCTGGAGGTGGGCCACCCGGATTTCCGCAAGGACTTCC